CAACCAACCACCCACACCCTTCGAACTCTATAAATTCCCTCCCCACAAACAACCCTTCACCTTAACTCAAAAGCCTCTACCAACATTTTCTCATCTTCCAACCAACCACCCACACCCTTCGAACTCTATAAATTCCCTCCCCACAAACAACCCTTCACCTTAACTCAAAAGCCTCTACCAACATTTTCTCATCTTCAGTCACCCACTCACTCATCAATTCAAACCTCGTCAATGGAATCCGTTAAATCTAACGGTAACGGTAACGGGCTTTGCGTACCCAGCGACCCCCTTAATTGGGCCGCAGCGGCGCAGTCCCTAGCGGGGAGCCACCTCGATGAAGTGAAGAGTATGGTGAAGGACTACAGGGAGCCCATGGTGAGAATTCGAAGGCGCGACGTTAAGCGTGCGCCCCAGGTGGCGGCTGTGCTGCCCATGGGCCGTCGGTTTTTGTTTTTTTTTTGTTCTTTTCTTAGGGTGGGGGAGGAATTTGCGCGAGTCTGGCCCGGGGCCCGGGTGAAGGCTAGTAGTGATTGGGTGATGGAGAGTATGAGCAAGGGGACTGATAGTTATGGGGTGACCACTGGTTTTGGAGCTACTTCTCACCGGAGGACTAAGCAAGGGGGTGCTCTGCAGAAGGAGCTTATTAGGTGAGCTACTACTCATTAATCTGGTTTTGTACTGCATACTTAATTTGACATATTCATTAGTTTGTGATTATATATACATATGATTTTATGTGGAAAATCTTATTTGATGTTTTCGGTTTATTTGAAAACTAGTTGTGAACACCGTGCAAAACATGACATATCAACTTTTGCTACAGTAATCGTGGTTTTTTTTAAATACTGTAGTAATGTTTTTTAAATTTTTTAGGCTCCTACTGTTCCTACCGTTGCTATAGTTTTAAAAATTACTACATTATCCCCCCCTATGCTACAGTGATTTGTTGAAGCTTGTGACAGTACCCAGCCCCTGTTGATTCAGTAAAAACTATTGTAGTATGAATAGTGAATTTTGGATTCTTTTATTTATATAGAGGAGTAGAAGACCTGAAAAGTCTTGAATGGGATCTGCTGGATGCCTATTTTCTTTGCAAGATTAACGTTTTTTTTAGTGGTAGCTAGAAAAGGAAAATTTCTGAGTGATCTTGTATAAAAGGTGTCTAAAATTGGAAAAAAATAAAATAAAATTCTTTTGAGGGCTTGTTGAAAAGGACAAATGTGAATTTTTAACATTTATTATTCGTTGAACATAAGGGATGATGAGACAGGAAAGAAAGGCACGTATCATGTCCTTGCTCAGCGCTGATGAGCACGTATTGTCCCTAATTCCTGTCAGTTTTGACAGCTTTCTTATTAAAACGTTTTCAAAAAAACGTTTTGACAAGAAAGCTGTCAAAACTGATAACAAGCTGTCAATTTTGACAGGGAATCAGGGGTAAAAGAAACCAACCAAACAGCCCTTAATTAATCAACGCTGCTATTTGACTAGAGGGGGGGCGTGAGCCAGACTCGCCATGAGAGGAGGGGGTAGGCAGTTGGCTCACGGCGCCCCCCCCCACCACCCAAATAGCATTTTCGCCATCTTGATTAAAGTGGGAGTTTCTCAAAAACACTAATAACCATTGTGGGACAAATACACGAGTACATTAATTTGAACGGTTAAGGTATCAACTTTGGAATCATACCCTTATTTGTAATGTAATTTTATAATTTTATTTTCACGTTTTAATGTTTGAAATAAATTATCACAACGTATCGTGTGCCCGACCGAGATGTGACTGACGGAATATTCTCCTTTTCAGATTTCTCAACGCCGGAATATTCGGCTCCGGCAAGGAATCCGGCAACACGTTGCCGTCACCGGCGACTCGCGCGGCGATGCTTGTCAGAATCAACACCCTTCTTCAGGGATACTCCGGCATTCGATTCGAGATCCTCGAGGCGATAACTCGGGCCTCCTGAACGCCAACATCACCCTTTGCCTTCCCGCTTCCGAGGCACCATCAGCTCCTCTGGCGACCTCGTCCCTCTCTCCTACATCGCCGGTATCCTCACTGGCCGTCGCCATTATGTCAGGGCCGTAGCCCCTGACGGCCGCTCAGTCGACGCCTCCGAGGCCTTCGAGCTGGCCGGAATTGATGGTGGGTTCTTCGAGTTGCAGCCTAAGGAAGGCCTTGCTCTCGTCAACGGGACCGCCGTCGGGTCCGGGCTCGCTTCGACGGTTCTCTTCGACGCGAATGTGCTCGCCGTGTTGGCCGAAATCTTGTCAGCGGTATTTTGCGAGGTGATGCAGGGAAAGCCCGAGTATACCGACCATCTGACGCACAAATTGAAGCATCACCCGGGACAAATTGAGGCCGCTGCAATAATGGAGCACATTCTGGAGGGAAGCTCGTATATGAAAATGGCGAAAAAGTTGCACGAACAAGACCCGTTACAGAAGCCAAAACAAGACCGTTATGCTCTACGAACCTCGCCACAGTGGCTAGGTCCGCTGATTGAGGTTATCCGCTCATCGACCAAATCAATTGAACGGGAGATCAATTCGGTGAACGACAACCCGTTGATCGATGTATCGAGGAACAAGGCTCTACACGGCGGGAACTTTCAAGGGACGCCGATCGGAGTGTCTATGGATAACACTCGGCTGGCCATCGCCGCAATCGGGAAGCTCATGTTCGCTCAGTTCTCGGAGCTCGTCAATGACTTGTACAATAACGGGTTGCCTTCGAACCTATCGGGTGGGCGAAACCCTAGCTTGGATTACGGGTTCAAGGGTGCGGAGATCGCCATGGCATCCTACTGCTCGGAACTCCAATTCCTTGCGAATCCTGTGACGAACCACGTCCAGAGCGCCGAGCAACACAACCAAGACGTGAACTCCCTCGGTCTCATCTCATCAAGAAAGACCGCTGAGGCGGTCCACATCCTAAAACTCATGTCATCGACGTTCTTGGTCGGTCTATGCCAAGCCATTGATCTCCGACATTTGGAGGAGAACTTGAGGAGCACAGTCAAGAACACGGTGAGCCAAGTCGCCAAAAGAACACTAACGATGGGAGCGAATGGTGAACTCCACCCCTCGAGGTTCTGCGAGAAGGACTTGCTCAAGGTGATTGACAGGGAGTACGTCTTCGCCTACATTGATGAGCCTTGCAGCGCAACATATCCGTTGATGCAGAAACTGAGGCAAGTATTGGTCGAACATGCGCTGAACAACGGGGAGAAAGAGAAGGAGGCGAGCACTGCCATATTCCACAAGATTTTGGAGTTTGAGGAGGAACTGAAGGCAACATTGCCGAAGGAAGTCGAGGGGGTGAGAGTGGCGTTTGAGAATGAGTGTTTGGCTATTCCGAATAGAATCAAGGAATGTAGGTCTTATCCTTTGTACAGGCTTGTGAGGGAGGAGCTCAGAGCTGGTTATCTCACCGGAGAGAAGGTGACGTCGCCAGGAGAAGAGTTCGATAAGGTGTTCGATGCGATTTGCGATGGCAGGTTTATCGATCCGATGCTCGAGTGCTTGTCGGAGTGGAACGGAGCTCCGATTCCTATTTGCTAGAATTTAGTTTTTATTTCTTGTTATGGTGCAAGGGTTTGCTGTTTGTTGTGCTTGTTGTTATTTGTTTTGAGAGCGCTGATTCATGAAGTTGCAGGTATACAGTACATAAAAATAAAGGGATTGTTACTGTCTGATAAATGTGTGTTCATTTTGATTGGTCATGATCTTTTAAGTTAACATCAATCTTCGGTTTCTTGAATATAAGTTGTCGATAAATCAACGTAAACACCACCCCCACAATTTAAAGTTAGAGGAAAACAAGAGCAAAACATGCATAAGTTCATTACATCATTCTAGTTTAGTCAACGATACACCTCTTTTACCGAAAGGCATACATCAAGAATCAAGATACAGATGAAATACTTGGTTCTTCCGCCTTCAACTTGAAAGCAAATATGGACAGCAAAAAACCTTAAGCTGAGACAGATGTTAAATTCAAATCTCAATAGGAAAACATCAGCAGCTAACGGTTAACACTTCCAGATAACCATAAACACTACGCTTCACAGATCACCCCAACGTAAACCAGTCTTTTATATATATAAACCCAGCGAGAGATAATTGAATCATTAAAGAGCTTAATTTACAATTGTCCAGTGGGACAGTTTCAAATCTCGAAAGGTTAATTACAATGCGATGGCGATACAAGCTTCAGGGTTGGTCACAAGGAGGTGTTAAGTGAATACGGTCAGCCTTTGCATATGAACCTTAAACTTTGAATCAGTCAACAAAATCATTCATCATCTGATAAGCACACAACAGGATCTGTAGAAGCAGCAGGCGGTGTGGCAACCACAGTTGATGTGGCCATTTCAGAATCATTTACAGGGAGTTTAGGCAAGTCTGCAGCAAGACTGGTAGTGGCCCCAAGATCACGAGACAATTCAACTCGAGAAAAAGGCAGCTGTCCCGATCCTACAGGTGAATATTTTCCGCTAAGAGGAGGCGCAGTAGTAGCAGATAGTAATGCTGCGCTCATATTTGTAGGGTGTTGATTGCTAAGTCGAGGTGGATTAACTGGTGGAGTTGTACATGTAGGTGGAAAATTTGGAGGAAGAACCGATGGCATTGTGGAGGTTGGTGGAAGAATCGGTGGCATCATGGATGAGCGAGGACCGAAGCGATGGAGATGTGGGGCCATGGCACGTGCAGCTGGGGCCCGAGCGTCAGTTGCTCCTTGATGACTTGGAGGGACTTGGAGCATGTTGTTGCTGAACTGGGGCCTGACAAGATTTCTAGAGACAACTGAAGGATTATGGCGAAAAGAACCAGCTGAAATTTGGGCTGGAGTTGTGGCTGGAGGTAAATTAGCTAGGGTTGGAATGTGGGCTTGAGTAGCTCCTGATCCGCGTAAAGGCAGTGAGGTTGATGGACGTGCTGGAGTCACAGCTGGAGGTAAGTTAGCTAAGGTTTGAATGTGGGATTGAGTAGCTCCTGATCCGCATAAAGGCAGTGAGGTTGACGCACGTGATGGAGTTACAGCTGAAGGTAGGTTAGCTGAGGTTGGAATATGGAAAGAGCCTGAAGTTGATGGTGGCCCCTGCGCATGTAACGGGTTTGATGCCTGAAGAAACTGCTGCATTGGACTTGAAGATCGAGCTGAAGTGAACAAAAAATGTCACGGTTCAGAACATAGCAGCTATCTAGTTGGTTCTAAAGTCATGAACATTTAAATGAATGAATTTAAATTTAGTGTTTTGCTTTTGTTGGAATCCTTCCATACAAAAAATGTACTCTTTTACTTCATACAAATATCAAGTCAGTAGAAATTTTGAAGGTTTAACTTCAAATGCATATAATTATGATGGAAAAAGTGAAGGTTTATTCAGTCACTATAAACAGTTTAGATATATCATTTCAAAGAAGCTAAGCTTGCAGAGCAAATGGGTGGATGAAGCATAAAAATAAACTACAACTGCATGGCCGCCACAAATTTGGTACCTTGGGAGGCAGAGGATGTCCCAGCCTTAGGATCAATAAATTTGGTCCTAAATTGCTCGGCTAAAATTTTATTGACGAGAACTTTGCTGTATATTGTTTCTAGCATCTTTTGTTGCTGATGAAATTCAGCTTCGTCATCTTTAAGCATTGCTTCATATTTCTTCCGCACCTTGTCTAGCTCCTCTTCACACTCAAGTTTACGTTGCCGCTTCTATACAGCAAAAACAAGTATTAAATAAGAAAAGAAGCAAAATATGGGTCAAATGCCTTCACAATGAAAATAAGATAAGGACTGTAAAGGAGTTCTGCAGGACAACCTTATCTTCATACATCCTATTGTGATGCTCAGCCTGCTTTTGTAGCCTCACAAGTTCATTCTGAAGTGGGTCAGGATGAAGCTGGTGCGGTTGAATACAAGAAGCCATTGGTAATATCTGAAGAAGGCGATCTCCTCGCTCTTGTGAAACACGAGAAGTTCTAATTGACTGCTGCACAAGCACTTCAGTCTGTGAGGTAGGAGAACAACTCATGTTTTCAGGACGAAGAATTCCCAATGTCTCTGCTGGCATCACTGGATGCAGTATGGATTGAGGAGACAATGGGTTGCATTCTTCAACCTGCATCTCTTCAGCCATATTTGGCTGTGGCATTGACAATGCAAGCAATTGACTAGAATGTGCGACTTCAGTGCAGAGCCCTCCTTCGGTAGAGAAAGTGGCAATAGGAGAAACCAGATTATGGGTAGAATTTGAAGTCTGTGTATCCTTAACGGTTGGCTCAAATTGCGGGGTCAAAACATGCCCCAAGGATGCATAAGGACCCGTAGTTAGGGGAGAACTAGGGCCTTCCTCACATTCAGTTCTACCATCCAAACTAAGCATATCATGCTCGCCTACAGGCAGTACCTGGTAATGCATTATAGGCTTACAACATCAGAATTTGCCACTAAACATGTTCACTAAAGGAAAAACGGAAAAAAATACAACAATGTCCTAGACACATGCCCTCTCATTTTTGCTGAATATATATTGTGGTTCTCAGAAGGCTAATTTAAAGAGCACTGCCACCAGCTTCTACAGATTACAAACTAATTTGCAATGTATTACAATACCTTAAGTCACATCTGAATACTTGACAGATGGAACATATTTCAATTTTCCAAATAAAATATTTATTCCTTTTAATAAGTTGAGGGTAGAAATTAAATTAAGTGGAATATCTGAAATGTTGGCATAAGTTAGATGAAGTTTACTGCGAACGCTGTTGTAAATAGCAGCCGATAGCGGTGCTATTGCGGCGCAAATAGCGGTAGCGGAGCCTATCACTACGATTTCATTGATTGCGGTGAAGCATAGCGCTCATGAGTGCTTTTCACTCGCCAAAGCGCTCGAAAGCGCGAAATAGCTGCAAATAGCAGCACATAGAGGTAAATAGAAGCAAATAGCTGTAAATAGTGCTCATTTATCTATATTTGAAGGCTTCATTTTTAAGTTTCAAATAGTTAATACAATTATGTTGCTCAATGTTTTTCTATTGTTGAGAATTTCTCTATTAGAGACTTGAAAGTTGAAAGAATGGGACAAATAACGTGGTCTTTTTCATTTTGTATAGTACTTTTGTTAATATTATGTGATTGTTATATATCTATTTCATGCTTAGGATCTCTATGAATCATCAAATATGCATTTACAGAATTTTTAGACTTTTCTTTACTTTTCTTATTTTTTGAATATTTGTACATATTTAAATTGGCCTGCTATTTGATTTTGTGTTTTTTGCCGCTTTAGTCCCAAATAGCTTTAGCAATGCCCCACCGCTATTCTACGTTATCCACTATCGATAGCATTGACTACGAATAATGTTAGCCATATATGTCTTATAGCGTGCAACTTCAGGGCTTGATAGACATTTTGACTTTTTAAAGTAATCAACCCACCAGTATTAGTTACTTTGTTGAAATAACCAATTAAGGAATCCAGAAACGAGCTACTATGTAGAACTGATTGACTCAACACCAGCCACAAATGAAATACCAGTAAAGATCCAAATATTGAAGCAAGCTGGAATTCTATAATAAACAAAACTCAGTACACTTTTCATTGGTTAGCTTTCTCTCTATTTCTCTTCAAGCCATTTATGCTTATCATTATTTCAGTATAGACTATAGAGTTAGTTCATACAGCTAACTACATCTTCAAGTGTACTTAAAACTCACTTTAACGCAATTATAACTTCCAATGCAAAGTGCCTGAAAAAACACTAGGTAGGTAGAGAAAACTAAAGTAAAAAGAAGGCACAGGACTATACCAGATTAGGTCTTGCTGAATTTCCACAGCAAGAGTCTCTTAATGCATGGGGAGTGGAACGTAAGCCTACAGAGTGTTGTAATGCAGATGATCTCATGTGAGCACCTTCTGGATTAGCTTCACCTTCATGTATATTCCTGTCGACTAGTGCTTCAGTCGTTGTTACTGAAGAATCTATACGTATTTCGGCGGGTCCTTCCTGAAGCAATGATGTCGCTACAGAGGGCATCATATGCTGCATATGCATAGTAACATGCTGATTACCTACTGCATTCATAACATCTGACTCAGGAACTGGCGCTCCACCATCCTCAGCCATGTCACGATCTCCAGAGCACGGAATAGTCAATGGGTTTACTGTAGATGTTTCATTTTGATCCACCTGATTAGCTAATATATTCATATCATCTGCCTCGAAAAATGGAGTTCCAGCATCCCGGGTTATAACATCATCTCCTGCAGGCAGAATATCTGCTGGAGTTTCTGCAGATATTTCATTTGGTTCTCCCGATGCAACAATATTATGTGGAACAGTTTCTTGGTTTTCAGCAATTCTTCTACTTGTTTCTAGAGGCACCAAACGTGTAGTGTCGGGCTGATTATCTGATACATTCATGACTGACTCAGAAAATGAACTTCCATTATCCGTGGGTATGTCAGTATTCCCTGCAGGCATAGTCGCAGGAATTTCTGGAGATGTCTCGTTTGGCTCAATAGATTCCACATCAGCATTATTATACAAAAGCGTTTCTGGGATTTCAACCAATATTCTATTTGCTTGAATAGCTTCTACTTCAGTGGTATTGCTAGAATGAGAAGGTGGAGCTTGCACATCTTCCATCCTTCCAGTAGAAAAGGTTGATGGCATGTCTAACTGGTTTTCAGTTGTTCCAATAGATATTCCAGGGGCAGTCATCTCCATAACATCACAAACTAGACCTGAACCCGGACGTGGAATCTCCGAAAATGTTCTAGTTGGTTCAGTAGATTCCACTACGACCACGTTAGGTGGAACAGTTTCCACGATTTCAGAAATTGTTCCAATTTCAGTTGTGTTTCTAGAATGTGAAGCATGTATTTGCGCATCTTCCAACCTTCCATTAGAAAAAGTAGATGAACTATCTAAATCATTCTCACTTGCTCCAGTTCTTATGCCAGGGAATGTAAAAATATCAGTGCACATTCGATCTGTAGCGGATCTAGATACGGGCGTTCTGCCTCTCGAACCATCATGAGACTCGAATGCTTCAACAACCTCCTTGCATTCCTCCAGCCTGAATCCACTTTCTACCAAAGGAAGCAATTCAAAATCTTCTGCTAGAGTGCCAGCTTTAGCTTCTTCTAGCCATTGGTCCCGAATGTTCTGCTCCATTTTTTCGGCATCTTCCAGCATAACCATTAGTTTTTCGTTCTGGCACTTCATATGCTGGTCAAGTTCAGCCCTCATTTTTGAGAAGTATTTATTTAACAATAGTATTTTGTCGTTTCTTATTGAATCGTCAGTGTGTACAGAACGAATAAGCTCCAAGAGGTCATCATGTGCACTCTTCAACCTCGCCTTTGCTTCTTCCCTCCTTGCATTAAAATCAAAGAGTTCTACTTGTTTCCTTAGAAGGAAGGCATCTTTCCTTTTTGAGCAAATTGTATCAATCAGATCAACTCTTTTCTTTAAAAGCGCATCTTGCAATGAGATAAGGTTCTCTTTAGCTTCCGAGGGAGACTGGCCTGCAGGGGCTTGCTCTTTGACTTCTGATTCTTGAAGATAAGATGAGGCCGACTCCGAAATCCCTCCATGCAATTGTTGACGGCCATCTTCTTTTCTTGACAGAGATGACTGATTTTCCAAGGAATTTGGCTTGTCTTCATGTCTTAATGCCCCAACAATGGAGAACTTTTTCTTTAACATCCGCAATCTTGAATAAACAGAACCCACCTGCTCCTCACTGCACGTATACCTCAAGTATTTTTTAGCTAGTGCAAGACATTCTTTGTGGTCCACCTTATGTTTCAGAAAAGAAGCCGCTCTCCAGCACTGAAAGTTACATAATATAGGTATCAGACAAACTAAATTATTGAGGTAGGCTGAAAAAAAATGACATTGATCACTAAAGAACAGCTCATTTAGCAAGAACTAACATTCATATGCAGGATATCAGACTTAAGGTTAAGCAGAGAAGTGGCTGAATATCTGCAGTGCTTAGGAGTTATCCGTCCTATTAGACAACAAAGAAGTTCAGGTACCATATGGAAAGTATGGCACAAGCAATAGCCATAAATATGGGGGTTTTCCAATCCTAGAACATGTAATTGCAACTTTAATAACAAAAGCAAGCACCGGCAATGAACTGTCAATTTTCGGCTGTCCAAAAATAACTTAAAAGCACGGATTTCAACTGAAAAGTTTTAAAATGCATTGATTAAATGTCTACATTAACGAGAAGCTCACAACATAGTTCTCTGCTCTTTTGCAATCGCTTTCAAGTTTTAGATAATGGCAATGATCTATTTGTCAGTCTACCAGCTTGCATGAACTACTATGTGTAGAATCACACAACTGATCCAAAACTAGCAAGAATACAGTAAGCCGCATAAATTATGGACCAAGTCAGAACCGAGATATAATTTGTTTTTTTCAGAAGTGTGAATCGTAAAACCACAAAGCATAGAAGACAATCTTACAAGCTCTTTCTTCACTGCAAAATATAGCAAAGATCAGTGTAGAAAATAACGTGTTCCGTAGCGCAAAATAGCGCATAGCGTAACGTAGTGCCACCTAATCGCTACGTAGCGCTGGAAAATAGCGCAGAAACAAAATAACGTACACTAATTTACCCATAGCGTACGCTTTATAACGCGTCTTCATAGCGCTTCATAGCTTAGGTTAAATTATTCAAGGGCTAGGATTGATTTTTAAAAGAATTTTGATGGTTGTGATTGAGTTTTTTTTGCGCAAATTAATCACATTCTGCACTGAAAAACATTAAAAAGAGGTCAAAGAATTACTAATTACTTTTTTTTCAAATTAATCAGATTTAGAAGTAATAAAAACGAGTACTTTTCTTTCAAAAATAAAAGTTGTAACTTCACTTGGATTACTATGTTTTTAAATTTATGAAGTAATAAAAGATGTTTTTAAATTTATGATGTTCTATTACCTATTAGAACTTACTGTGATAGTGTGTGATGTATATTTTTTTAACAACTATGTTTTTGGAATGATTGTTAAGGCATACATGGTTGATTTTGTTGTGAAATTGTGATGATATAATGATTTGTGATAGCATTTTCATGATGTTATGTTTAAAAATTGTGATGATTATTCATATTATTTGATTTTGAATATTATGTATCTATAAAATATTTAAATAATAATAAATTGTTTAACCTACTTTAAGAGATATGCTATTTTGGCTACCTCTCATTTTTTATCTTTACAAACGACTCATTGAACATCTTTGCCAATGTTGAAAATAGCAATAACGCGTTATGATTTTTAAAGAATAAAATATTTCAATTTCAAAGCCCTATTTCCTAGCTTTGACATGCCTAGCCGAGTAGCTGATCATATGAAATCCTTCAATGGTTCCCAAGCTTTAGACTACCACTCCATATTGCAGACTTACTATTTGTTCCATTCTCGAAAACTAAATGTAATCCCACTTGTATAAAAGGAAATTTTACACAAACTTCCCGTGACAGGTTCCATAGTTATGTGCTTTCAAAGTCTCATGTTAGAAGAAATTATTTATAGAACTCACTTGTTGGCGATCAATTTTGCAATTGCCTCAAGTTTCCAAAGCCTCAATTGTGAGTTGCTCAATTTGTTCAGTTTCTGTGTACTTCATGTATTTCTTTCCTAAATTAAATACATAAAAAGGACCCAAACGATCACCAAGGCTCTTACCGTAAATCTCTTGAAAATAGTACAAGGTACAATGAAGAAGTATCACACCAACGAATAAAGATATAAAAAAGAAAACCAAATGAGGGTTGATGTTCAAGCAGAAGCAGCTACGGAAAACTCCAAAACAACATATCAGTTTTATCGAGTTAAAACATAATATAATGTGCTTGTCTAACCAGAGATAATTTGAAGGCTTGCAATATGGTGTCTGGGTCTTGATCAACATGATGATTATTCATGATATACTCAAGAAGCGTGTATGCCAAATCCTTGACATCAGCCTGCATTAGATCATGTGCATCAAAGTCAGTTATGCATTCTATAGAACCTGCCACAATGCAATAAAAAGAAAACATGTACACAATAATTATTAGAATTGTTAAATGCTATCACAAGCTTAACAGATTAAGAAAATGTAAAAGCAATATAAGTAGAAGTGACCAACACAAAGATTTGAGATAACACTCTGAAGTACAGCATCTCACAATATGAAGGAACACCATTTACTACCAGATAACTCTCCAAGAAGATATTCATCCTAAACCATCACCAAATTTCAATAAGCTGGCCTTGTTTTAGTCTCAAAAGTTTTGGTATTATGTTTTCACCAATTATGATAATTTTGGTCCAATTTCTGCTTTCCATTTACAGTGTTGACTATTAAACTCATGGACTTTACGGGTGGAAACAAACCAAATATTTAACAAATAGTTCGGTATTTATTCGCTTAAGTATTCGGTCATATTCAATTCCATAGTTCATTTAACAACAAACAAATAGTGTTTAGTATTCGGTTCATAAAGAAATGGAATTTAACCACAGATAGATTTAATTTGTTTGTTTAATAAACTATTTGTTTATATATTACACTTTAAACCTATAAATTTTAGTTATTGTAATTTCTATGCATCCGAAAAGCTTTTTACACATATAGGCTCATGTAAGTTTTGATTTGTGATTATTTCATTTATCACTAGGTTGCATATTCATTGGCTGTATCATGTTTGGCTGCATTATACTACTAAGATAGGATAACAAATATTATCGAATATTTACTGAATACGAATCGAATAATTCAAAAAAGACTTAAAAAACTGTTAACGAATATTTGTGAATAGTTGTCAAATATTCGAATACTAATCGAATCGAATCCCAATACATATTTGCTATTTGTTTCGGATTTGAATATGAATTAGATGGTCGAGTATGAACCGAATACAAATACTGTGGTATTCAATTCGAATTCACTTTATTTCCACCCCTAGTCATGGTACATGCTTTAATTAAAGACAAAACAGGAGGATTTACTAGAATACATACATGAAGTTTCAAAGTGTCGCATAGCTCAGATATTTCTGGCTTCAGACGGAGATGGAGAACCTTTTGTGCATTGCGCCTTCCTTCAGATTCACCGATGGGAAATTTATGTGGCTCTGCAGCAGCATCAGGTGTGGAAGATGCTCGTAAATACGAAGTTACGTGTGTGATCGTACCATCTGAATTTGGCATGCAGTTTTTTCCAACACTAGATAGACTTCCATATGTTTCTGCATATTTTGCATCAATTAGTTTCTCATCAGGGATGAGAGTTAGAACAATAGAAAGTCCAAAGAATAATTGTGAACTAAGACAACAGAATATGATTTCATCTTCTGTAAACAGCAAGTGTCACCTGGTTCCATTGGTGTGCTACTCGGAGTAGTTGGTGTTGTTGTGGAAATTAATGCTTGTTGATTAAAGCGACAGGGAGAACTGTCATTAAGGACTTCAGCATCCTTTACCATTCCCTTTGTTTTGTCTTCAAGCCAAGCCTGTAGAGAGTTTGGATCCACGGTATTGGTAGTTAGCTTCCTACGTTTTTTTCTAGCTTCATCTTTTTCCACTTCAGGTACCTTTATGGGTTCTTCAAAACGTTGAACCTTTCTTCGGATCCTTTGAGATGGTTCACTTATGAATCTCCAGTCAGGGTATCTATTATCCAATAAATCTGACCAGAAGCTAGAGGGATCTTTATCCAGTGCGCATATTCCATTTCTCTCACTTACTAAACTAATATTTCTTGAATATGAAGCTCCACTCTGCTGAGCTTTAATCAAAAGCAAGCATTGGTAACTATTATTTTCACCTCTTCTTGGCAACTGTTGCACTAATTCCACCACAACATCATTTAGGAATTTCAATGTTGAATCATTTAAGAAACACTTCTCAATGGAATTTTTAAAATAGTCATGCACATTTTGCTGGTGGAACTCATTAAGTTCATTGAACAAACTCAAGGCACCCCAACTGAGTAGCAAGTGGCTATTGCTAGGATTAATGTTCCGAATGTTACTGTCTAAAATAATATCTTGCCTTGCAAATATTAGAACCTTCTCTTCAACCGTACATGATGAATAAAAACGAAACACTTTAACATGTTCAAAACTAGACTCAATATGTATCTTCTGAAGCGCTCTAAGGTCATTCAATGGGTTCCAGTCGCTACTGTATATAACAACAGCATCAAGTGAAGAAAGCTTAATACTTGGTAGGCAAGCCCGATTTTCTATCAGAAATACGAATCTCCCATTTGCCTTGTCATTAAACTTACTAAGAGCAGTTAATTTCCTTGACATACTTAATCCATTGTCTACTCGTTCATATGAATCAGGCCCAAATCTCTGACGAACAAAGTCATCCAGAATATCGCCAATAGAATTCCTTCCAGCACCGCCTATGGACTACCAAAACCAAAAAGTATATAAGTACATAAAAATCATCATTAATTCAATTTTCTACAACAATTGATGAATAGATAGAATGCATTTTTTTAAAGCATGAGAACTTAATTTTCTACAAGAGGACATTTACGGAAACACTAACAAGGCACAAAGAACAATATATTTCCAGAACAAATGGATATATATACTATGAAATACACTTACTACTTTCAAAAGGAAAAAAATTTAGTAAGTTACTTTTGAGATTTTTCCAGCATTTGTGGTTTTGATCTTCCTAACTCCTTGTTGGAACTCTCTCTTCTCCTCTTACCTTTAATCATAAATAATCTTTATCATAATCCTATTTAACATAACATCTTTTATTAACTACCACTTAGTTATATTTTACTCTACAATATCTTGCTTTCAACAAAATGTTTTTGATAAGAAGACATGTATTACGAGATTAAAGGTAAATAGTGTAATCCGCAGCATGAATAAATAAATAAATAAGCAAAATTTTATGCACATGAATGGATCATATCTCTTGGATAAGCATAAGCTCATAAGCATCAACATTAGTCAAACTAAAGTTTATAAAATATGTTATATAAACATATTATACATAAATCTTTGTTATATAAACATATTATACATAAATCTTTCTTTTTTTGATAGTCTAACTATTTAATAAGCATCTACTTGTTTTAACTTTTTTAGATATGAGACTCAAAGACTAATCAGGCATACCATTTCATAAAAGAACAAAATTAATTAGAGATATAATGTCTCTAGACTATAGAGGACAGAAAAAAATCCATCTCAGTCTTGTTGACACTGTTTTACCATCAGTTCAAGTAACTTCTCAATGTTAATGAGCAATATCAAAGTGCATAGCATCTCACAACATGAAAATTCTTTACATACTCTACACGAATTTAACTTTATTACAGAATGGTTTAAAAACTATGATCCAACACTAACTATAAGAGCTAACTCAAATTATAATAAAAATTTTAGGCTTCATTTCATCAAATAAATAAATTTGGAACATGGTAATCCATTCAGTATAAATAATTTAAAAGACATAATTTTCAGGAAAAAACACATCCAACTACAATCTTCAGCACATAATTTATAGCATAAAAAGCAGGAAATAGATTTACAGAGTATAGGAACTATTTGATAAATGTGCATAGATAACTTTATACCTGGAAAAGAATCAGCACGCGTAATCCTTGATTCTTTATCTCTTGGAGAAATTTATCAAGTAAATGTAGCTTACCACTAGCATTTACTCCCATGTCCAAGTACTTATCTGCTGGAAGGTCTTTCATAAGAGAACTTTGCAACGATCCATCAAGTACGTAAGGATGATCACAGCACTGTCAACAAAAGTAATAAAGTCATGAAAATGATCAGAGAAAACATCACAGCAAAGCCGTCTTTTTATCACACAGCTTGGTAGTTCTTTCTTCTGATATTGGTCAAGATATAGTCAGACAGCGTTCAAAGGGCTAACCTTCCTTGTAGAAATAAGAATGTCGCGAAGAGCTCCAACAAGATCAACTTTTGAACATGAGCGAAGCGCAGTTGAATTGGAGATAAGTGCCGAACAGTATTGTTCAAGTTGCACGTTAGAAAGCTGAACAGGAACCCAGTACTCTAGAAATTTTGATGAGCCTGGTTTTCGCTCATATGCCACATGACGTGTTAGTTTGCCTTTTAATATAGCAAGAGTTCCAGCAGTATCATTAGGACCATACTTGGAACTACTAGAATCATTCACTTTTAGTCCAGATTCAAGGAAGGAAAGAAAGTTGAGGTATTCAGCAACAGTTTCCTGGAAAATCCAGAGCAAATGGGAAATAATTGATAAATACAAGGCACAAGGTTAAAACATAGATATAGGTTTACCTTCAGTTGCCCACTCAAAAGCAGCAGCCTGAATTCTGTAGAAAGGTTCTTAAATTCTTCAAGGTGTTTGGACACTCTGGGGTTCTGACAATCATCAATTACTTGTACTTCCCAGCCAATGCAATCCAGATAGTCCAAGTCCTGAATATTCAATAGACACAAATAGATTCAAGTCAAAACTACTTATAAAATAATTCCAGTAAAACAGCGCAACAGAACTCCACAGCTGCACCCAAATATCAGCCACTAAAAGAAACAAAAGCAGAATAACATACACTTAACTATAACTAGAAAGGCGTGAACAAGATTATATAAAATGACTTTTAACAAATGCAAGGAAAGTATTACATTGAGATACCTCAATAACTGCATCAGGATGTGATAGAAGCACTTGAAACATTATGCGACCACCTTCATCATAGAATTCTGAAGTCCGAATAAGCTTCCGAATATTTTTATTCCCGGTGTAAACGACAACATTGATGGACGGCGCCAATCTCATGAAATCAGTCTCCCATAGTGAAAGAGAAGCTATGGTTGAGATAACAAGAATAGGCTGACATGTATGGGACTTTAAAGAAGATATAAACAAGATGGGCTTGATAATTCGCTCCTTCAGGCGTCAATGAAACACATAAGGCATAAAACAGAAATTCAGTAAGATTAGATAAAACATAGTCAGATGAAAATTTGATCTACGAGGACGAGCATATAGGTTTCAAGTCATTCATAACAGAACAAATGTGACGCACTTGGAAAAAGGAGTATACAAATAACAAATGTGTGAAGACCCAAAAGCAATAGAGAGGACAACAGATCTTTTCTAAGAAAGATACTGAGAAAAATTGGATATCCAAGATATGGACTCATGGCATGTAGACATCACAGTAATATATAAAAGTTTGTCTGAGTCAATGATTTGATAAAGTTGTGAAGGGAGAATTGCATCTCAAACCAATGGTAGATATCACCAAGAGATCACTAAAATGCGCGAATGCTCACACACACTTGTGCATGCGCGGGGGCATATAAATGATTAGTCATGAAAATTAGCAAACATGCAGTAAATACCATTTTAACAACTTCTTTGCCAAGGGAACACAAACGTAAGATATCTTAAGGTGAAGTTTGCTAACGTCAGCTCAAACACCAACGTGAAATTGGATTATGATGGATGCACAATACATACAATAGAGGCATATAGAATAAGATAAGCACTTTGCTAATAACTCATCCTGATCATGCCTCAAAAAGATTGTAAATCAAAAAAATTAGATCCAGGCCATTGCTAGCTGGATACATGTCTTGAACACTGTCAACCAACTTACACTTTGATTTCATGGGATTTACTCGGTACCTTAATAAATCATGTAACAATAAAACAATATATGACAGCATATGAGATAAGTAAAAATATGCCAACTATTCAGCTGCCAAAAAATATGAGTCCAGACATGACAAGTGAATTATGCTATTATGCTTTTATATATCCTACCAGATTTTGTACGAAAATTCCATGTTCATCAAGTGCATATCTTTATAAACACGAACTTCATACGTGAAGTTCGAGAAACAAGTACACAAGTTCATATACACAATATGGATACAAGTATTTTATTAAACATTGATTGAAGAACTAAAATCATGAGATCATTAGGTACACAGTGGACTTATGCCTTAAGCAAGTAGGTGGATCACCTTGAAAAAGGAAACGACACAAACTGCCAAGGAATAGCTGCTCATATTTACAATCAATATATTCGATACTAAGTGGATTTCTAACAAAACAAGTTTTGTCCACGATATCTTTCACTTTGCACTTGAAATTTGCCTTTCCCCGTCTAAACTCTTCCTAGAAGCTTCCTGCTCTTAAAGTTGAAAATTGCTACTTTATGATTATAAACTGCTCCTAGCAGCATCCACCTCTAAAAGTGGTAACTGATAAAGTTATTCAGTTACTTTTGAGATTGACCCACACCACAAGTTAGTAAGTTCAAATAAAATCCTTACCATATAGAACAATTGACTGAAAATATCATCATTGGATAGCCTAAGAGAAACCAACAGATTAACACAAGCCATAGATTCATGTTCTAGTTTTAAATTTAACAAAATGCAGTAAGCATCATAACACTTCACATAGCCTACATAAGAAAATCACTTGCAGTAAAAGAAATAAAGCAGAACGTAAAAGCTAAATTCCCACCTGATCATCAATAAAAATAGCATTTTGGGATTTGTGCCAAAATTCCCTAAGCCGATTCACAGAATTTAAATGATCATTATCAATTCCAGCAGGGAAATCATCAGCCAGCTTTGTCAGTTTGTGAAAAGAACTTTTCTTAACTTGCAGAGCCTGCATGAAAATATACCTTTTTAGTTGCCTTGTAACAAAATCAAGGAGAAAGTTATTTGAAGTTTCTAACTGAAGCGTGTGAGCATCGAATAGTGCCTTTTCAGCCCTCAAAGGATCACAGATTCTCCTCGCCTCCTCATGACGATTTTCAAAATCATGTATAAGCACTCTAGCATCAGATGAGCATAAAAATGGTGACTTTTCCAACTCCCACGTGGCATGCTCATAACCAAGGCCTTTCCATTTCACAAGCCACTCATGATAGCAGTATGCATGCCCATGCTCAATAGAAGATCCATCCGCCAAACTTTGGGACACCGTCTGTCTTTTCTGTAACAGACGGTGAGGTTCAGCCCACTCTTGTTTCCACCTTGTTGCCTGGGAGAAAGAAGGTTTGACGTAAGAACTCAATAGGCAAAGTCGAAAAAAGTTTACTGCAGAAAGAATATCAGAAGGAAAAGTTTGACTTGGCAATAGCAAAAAGACAGGTAACCTTCTCTTTCTGATGTCCTCTCTCAAAGTTGGCTACAAGCATAGGAGCTTCAAGAAGAATCTGACTTTCAGGAACCCATCGGTTGTGAACATGGGCAAGGCCTTTATATTTGACAAAATACTGCTTCCCATTCTGCATTTCTAACACCACAGAGCCCATGACAATATTAGTAAGAATAATCATCTTAAGAAGCATGACATGGACTAGCCTGAAAAACACCTAATCGCAAATCATTCTCACCTTCTTCGACATCCCAAACAGATTCTATTCCGTCCGACACAGAATATACCCCTAATTCCACTTTTTTTCTGAAACAAAAGTGACAGAGCCAGACACCGGGTGGAATGTCTTGCAGAGGTGGACTTAAACAAGAAAGATGGTAACTACTTTTGCACCCTTTTCCATCACAGCACCTAAGATTACATACTAACGTCAAATGTTCAGTGGTATGCAAACTTAAGACATGATTAAAAAAAGTAATTATCTTGAAGAAAAATAGGAACCCCAGAGAATAGCTTAAAACTCATGATTCAGCATCCAGATACCCTTCAATGTTCACTGGCAAGAAGAAAGATTAAGTAAAGGCCAATACAGGGCTTAACTTTTAAATCGCAAATATTAGCAAAGACAGCCTATATGATCACCATTAGTCCTTTTCACAGATAAAGTATAAAGTCAGTTTCAATCAGCAAAGACTTTGCTTATCAAAATGGTATCAGTTACGGAGCAACAATTAAAGTCGAGATTGCCACAATAAGTGACCAAATTGGTTTATTGACTTCTCCAATGCAGTGAATGTGGCATAAACCAAAGACTCATGACTATATCTGAGTGCAGCCTACACAAGAAAAATCACATGGATCTTTCTTGGCTTTAGATTTACGGCAGGCATCATTTTGAGAGGAAACAGTTACACTCAAGGTTTTAAATGTCGGATGTCGGGTTCATGTCGGACGGCTGAAATCCATGTCGGATAGCGAAAATCGGGGATATATAGGGGGACATGGACTAAATATCGGATTGCCATATCGGGTGGTGCACATATGTATAATATCATGTCCTAAATGTAATCTAAGCATTCCTAAATTCAATATATATCATGTCCTAAATGTAATCTAAGCATTCCTAAATTCAATATAAACATACTTTATAAATTCTAGAGGGGGCGCCAGCGATGGGTGGATTCCGAACGTCGCAAGGAGGCAGTGTCGGCGACGAGACATCGCAGGGAGGTCGGGGCTCTTTTCTTCTTCTTCGTCTGCTCGGGGTCCTTCGGATGAGTCACCGACCATCCTCTTCCCTTTATCCCGACGATGGGATACCCTGCCGTCCTCGGGTTCGGTTGGGTTCGGATTTCGAGGCACAACGGGAGATGGACGACGGGGGGCTGAGATGGAGGTGGGGGAAGGGCGTCGTCGTTCACGAAAGGAGTAATGAGTTCCCAAGTCCGTTGCAACCCTAATTTTTCTCTTTTTTTCTATCGGGTTCATAAGAAACTCTTAAACATGAGAACGGGTCAAACGGATTTGGGTTTTTATCACTAAACCCAAATCCGATAACAGAAAATAGATCTAACAAAAGGTCACATCGGTCGATTTTTCAAAGCTGAAAAATAGGCCGATATGCCCGATATGGCCCCGATATTTCTGATTTGGTCCTGAAAACCGACATGGCGACATACGAGTTGAAAACGCTCATGTCGTGTCGCTCAAGCCCTCAAACCGACATGTCACACATGTCGGCCGACATTTAAAACCTTGGTTACACTAACATGGTAATGACAACAATGTAATACACATGTTCATGCATATTAACTTCGGTGCTTGGAGAGGACAATACTACTCTTCAATCAGTTGGAGTAGGAAGAGAAGTCTGCACCCTAAGGAAATGATGCCAATATACCTTCTTTGCAAACAAGTTTATTCCCAATGAACATTGAACAATTATGCTGTGTAAATAGTGCCAGTTAGCCTTCTTTAGAGTAGTTATCACTCAAAGAATGCAAAACTAAGAAGTAGAATAAAAGGTGACATTGATTCTAGTTCCAAAAGACATAAATTCTTTACCATTGGGACATAATTTGAAACCTAACTAGCATCAACAACCATCAAGCGCAAGACTGTGAAGAAATGGCACTCACAAGAGCTCTCCAGACTGCTTGCAGATGACACATCTATTCAGGCCACTTTCAGTTTGGACTTCCGTAGATGACTCATTTGGACTAGTAACTCTCAAGCGTTCTTCATACGTGTGACCTCCATCGCTGACTCCGGATTTCCCCCTACCCTAATGCAAAATATAAAAGAAAAATGGCAACATTAACTTGGATCCAAAATATAGAAACTTAAAGAGGAAATAGGCTCCTTAAAAGAATAATAAATATTATGAATGTCAAAGAGGGGAAAAAAGATTACAACATCCACAGGGACAGACAAATTCTCTTTGATGGGTGATGTAACCAAGCAATGCTGTCTGACAAGGAAAAAAAACAATAGTGAAGATTATTAAACTGGAGATGGTTATTGCAAATATCAGCACTACGAGGTCTTGTAAAATGGTAAATTAATCAGGTGCTGTAAAGTTGATCATTAAGCAGTACTTTTTAGATCGAGGTGAATGTTCTCTAACTTCAGGCATTAAATTTCCTTCAACATAATTTCCTTGCAAACATATGGCTTCAGTTTCACTTTGACAGGGACTAGAAACTATCCCACAGGGTTCCTACCAATAAAAGTAATACATGTCAGTTACATGACCTAAATTAGAATCAATACTACGTAAGGTAATAAGATAATAATGATAAAACAAGAACAAACATAAAGTAAAATAAGTAATTTAGAATACAGATATATACTAAGAGTAATCACATTTTGGCATCTTAATTTCAAAATAAAAAACAACAGTCAGCATCATACAAGATGTTTATTTTGATCTTCCGCATAACAATAAAGAAAGAGTGCTAAAATTAGAATGTGTGGGATGCAACTATACAATTGCCAGTGTTATTTAGGTACATTTGCTCCATAAATCCTCTAGAAGAAACAATATCATGTCACATCTACAGCCAGGCAAATGAGTTTTCCCTTCAAAAAGTAAGTTATACTTATGCACCACAAGAAAGCGAGTCAATGTAATGGTTGCCGGGTTGATTAATGTAACCCCAGCAAAGAACTAAATCCAGGTTCAAATTCAGCCACAGAGGTGCAAAGGCTGCAAAGTGAACTAACTATATATCTAATGGTTTATGTTCAGGAATATTTCATGACAGGTTAGAAATCTCATAACCAGAACATTATTCACGTACAATTTAAGTGTAAATCAACATGAACATTATGAATTACCCATGGGTATGAACCATGTCTTTGGTTGGTGAGTGGTAGCAAACTTTTTTTTAGTCCGTGGACTGCTACTCTGCATTTATTTACCTAATATAGTTCATATGCAGAGATGCATGCATACACAGCCCACACACGCGCCCACATATACACTAATTCGATACAAATCCATTAGTGGGAATGGGTCATTGTAGGGTGTTGTCTGCAGGTTCTAGGTCCCATTCACTCGTGTATATGTATGTATATAATATGTATCTATGTATGATTATGTATGCATGTGGGTAAGTATGCATACATCTAGATACATACTATATTAAAGTAATAAAAGTATAGCGATATATGGTAGCACTCTATGGACAAACAAAAAGTTCATTACCATGAACCAAAGAGATGGTTCATAACCATGGATAGTTCATAATGTTTCTCGATTTACAGTTAAATTGTATGCCGGTGACGTCGTCAATAATGTAACGAATGTTTTGTTGTCCATAGAATGATATGCTATAGGGCTATACATCAATTTATCTAATATAGTATGTATCTAGATGTATACATACACATACATTCATACACACATATGTAGATACATACATACATAGATATACGCACAAGTGAACTGGGCCTATAATTAACCGATAGACGACACCTTACAGAGACCCAATCCCACTATTGGATTTGTTTGGAACTATTGAATGGAATTTTGGCATTAACCTTGATGCTAATTCCATTGTCGGAAAGGGGTCATCGTACCTACTAACGGAAATGACATCGCTGTCCCTTTTTTCTAACACACGCACCCACCCAACCCCCCAACTCCGCGCCACCCCAGCTACTATCAGTAGAAAAGGATTCTACTAGCATTTTTTAACCATTGGATCACTTTGAGATTCGTAGAAAGAAACTCCTATAACTATTCTATCTCCTAATATTTGGGGAGTAACCATAATTAAAGAAACTCCTATAACTATTCTATCTCCTAATATTTGGGGAGTAACCATAATTAATTTTCTTTAGCAAGAATCTCCAAGCAATCCAATGGGTAAAAAACAGAAATGTAGTCATAGAGATACTTCCCTGCACTCAATAAAAATATTGAATCTGCAGAGAATGATTTTAATTAGTCCAAACACCCAAACTTCTGTAATATTAAATACTGGTATAGAGAAAAAAGCATGCTTGGCATGCAATCTATTTACAAGACAAAAGGTACAAAATTTAATGAATATTATGCACTATAGAATTGAAGCCTGAGTGTTATCATGAAGCAACAAACTTTTGGAAAATCCATTTAAGCAGCTTTTTTGCCACCATATTCACATTCGATATAAAGTAATAAGTTTAAATTTAACAAGTCGGAATAAATGGCGAGGGGATCAAACCTCAATAGTAGAGGGTGTTAATTTGCTTTCTCTTCGGGAATTACATAAACACAATTCGTGATCTTCTGAAACATTGTGAACCCTGGACAAAACAGAGATTTTTCAATAGGTTTCATCTCAGGCATCAATAGAAGATTTTGACCGTGTAAATAATAACACTTTGCTGTGATAACATAGATTCATAAGAAATGCAGGACAAAATCACAAGAAGCATTTTATTCGACACTGAATATTGAAAAAATTGCAGGGGTTGTTTTGAACAGAGTCCATCCCGCGCGGTTTTTTTTCTTTTTCTTTTTCTTTTTCTTTTTCTTTTTTTTTTTTTTTTTTGGGACGGGGGGGGGGGTCAGAACGGCTTAGAGATCAGGGGTTTCCTAGTTCCTTACTTAAAATATGAAGATTTGGGGTCTAAGTATACAATTAACAAATGTTTGGGGTCTACTATGACAAAACCCCAACAGAGAGCAAAGGTTTGTGTGTGTGTGTGTGTATGATGTTCTTAACAAAAATGGTTTAATAAAATGAGAGTACCTTTCAAGTTTATTGCAAGCAGTGCATCTTTTAACATCTTTATATGTGGCCTCACAAGGTGATGAAGTAACATCAGCTTTAGAAATCTCTGTATTAGAACCATTTCTAGTCCCTGCTATTGCTGTTCCACCAGAATAAACATCAGTAGATGTCCTTCCATTCTTGGAACCTTTGAAATTGACCCTACACTCCAGACTTGCGTCCACAGCTAAGGATTTTCCTTCAGAAGTAGAAGCAATCAGTTCTGACTCTGTCAATTTTTCTACACACACCTCGTGTGTATGGTGCATGATATGCATACCATGCATCTCTCTTTGAGAAACACAGCCACCATTATTTTTGGCAGATAATCCAACCGGAGACGACTTCTTGGAAATACCATTGCACTTCGACACTGGGGATTTGTCCACGATTTTTTTCTTTCCACTTGTACAAGTTGATTTCTTCAGTCTGTCATCATCCACGGTCAAATCATCAAGGTCTCTTGAACCAGAACTACATCCTTCAGCAGCTTCTTTGCTACTGTCAACAGAATATTTCCTGCACAGTGTATCTTCCTTTTTTCCATTGCATTCATCTAAACCCTCGCTCATTTTCTTAGAATTACTGGAGGTTGACTTAGAGCAGTTCCCGTTTAATGCAATGTCCACTTTAAATTCATCTAAACCCAAAGAAGAAAAGAAAGAAGAGATGTTGATAATTCCAGATTGCTTATCAAGTTAAAATAATAATCAAATCAGGGTCATGCACAAATACAAGGAGGGTCAGGCAACATCCAGTTTTCAAATAGCTAAAGCACAATGGAAGTCTAGGTTTCTACATTGATTTGTTCAGGAATGAAGCACACTGGAAGTCTAGGTTTCTACAATAATTTGTTCAGAAATGAAGCATAACTTAAGGCGAAATGAATGTCCAAACTTACCTGAAATTTCATCCAGCTTAGACTTTAGCAATGCCCTGTACCTGCGTGGGGTTCCTGTTTTCTTTTTTGATATTTCACTAATCTTAATATCCAGGTTATTATCCTTGCTCTCGTTATCGGTGCCTGTGACTCCGTTTTTATCGTCATGTAACTTTTTCTTTTTTGATGGTGGACCTGAACTCTCATTCAGCTTTTTCGAGTCGGGAGAACTTGAAACCGCATTCTTCTCAATTCTCTCAGACCTTCTCAAAGGACTGCGTGATCTTTTTTTCTGTTTCTTGTCAGGAGGAGTTGATGATGCCTGAGCATCAAGCCTCCCAGATTTCCTTGAGCTAGGGCTTGAAGTTTTCAAGCTTCTGGCCTCTTTAGCAGTAGTAGTATTATTCGCCTTATTCTTTGTAGTAGTTGCTGTTGAACGAGAAGTAGGGGAATCTTTTGTGTCTTTCACTTTGGCAGCAGCATCCCCACTCTTTGTGCTGCTAGTTCCTTCCTGTTTCAGGATCCGCCCAGATCTAGTACAGCTCGTCATCTATTCTCACAGATGACTCAACAATTCACCCAAATAATTGCATCTATCGGCTTACTTCAACCTAGACACTGAATTGCACACCAGAAAGGAAGGACTGACCTGAACAACAGAAAGAGCTCATATTTATCATACGGTAAATGAACTTCAAATATATAATATACATAATAAACATGAACACACAAAGACACAAGTACGTTGCGTGTATGCGTGTCTAAATACTTGCATGTTAACAAAATAAGGATGTACGCACCATCGCAGTAGATCCCAACTAGTTAAGACATATATAGAAGGAAAGTAAACCAATTATAATTTATTTTTTTTAAAAAAAAAGCTCTCAGTCCAATGGCAAATTCAATGACAACTGAAGCTAATGTTGCTACTCAATGATTACTAAAAAGCATAATATCATCCTGCTAGTCCTGTTGAATAAAAACTCAGCCTGCTCGCGGTTATGAATGCCTACAGACAAAAAAAAATCACCAAAAAGGAGGGGAAAAAAGAATCCAATCTAAATAGATCTTAACAGGCTAAGGAGCAACTTGTCACATAAGTAGTTCAATCAGATGTTTGTTAACTTTTGAACAATGTTCATCCAAGTTTCCCTTCTCAACCAACAATCTCTCTAGATCAAGACAAAAAGCATGAACTCAGAACCTAGATCACACAAAAGTGATTGCATGTACAAGGGGGGGGAAACACCCAAAACGCACTTCAAAGGCGCAGGCCAACGAGAAAACTAAACAGAATACCTAAGTATGAGGAAGCGGCCGTGATCACGCAACTAAACCCAACTTTTGTTTAGAGAGAGGAGGGGAAATCAATGTTTCTATTTACAAAACCCTAGTCCGAACAAAATCAAGCAAGAGAGCAGCGTACCAGACCAAAGCCACGACAAATTCAACGAAAAAGAGTGAATAAGTCGATGAATCAGAGAAAAATCGACGAGGATCAAAGGGTTTTTAGGGTTTAGAGGACTCTCACCATCGAGATTGAGAAGCGAGGGCTTTCGATTCGAGCGAGAAGGTAAAGTAGCAAATTTACAGGTGATAGAAAATTAAAATTCGACGCCCTTCGAAAAGTTTTCAGGGGAAGGTAAAAGAAAATTTCGGGACGTTGAAAATTAGGGGCTGTTTGGTTGAGTTTGTACAAAGGTGTTGCGGACCCAAGCATGGGATATGTGCGCTGTTACTATCCGGTGTTACTATCCGGTTACATGATACACTGAACAGTGTATGACACCTCACATGTCTCATGTCTTGAGTCTCCTGTTTGGGTCCTTGAGGCATTAATGTTTGTACAAACCCAAGTTTGGGGGATTAAGTTTTGGAACCCATTTTGACGTTTTCAAACTTATTTCGTGACTTTTAGGAGGAAATAGATTTTCTTATATTTGGGTTTTATGTCACTATTATCTTTCTAGGCAAAATGACCAGATTGGTATATTTTGTAGAGGCTTGGTGATATGTTGGTATATTTTCTTTTAGTTTTATCAGATTGGTATATTTTGTCGACTCCGACGCCAAATACGCCTTAAATTTGGCCGGAGTTACTGTTCCGACCAGTCCTGACGGGATTTCTTACATAAAACCCCCTCATTAAAACCTCGTCATGCTCCTAACCCTCTCCTCCTCCTCCCCCTCTCCCTCCTCCTCATCCTCTCCTCCTCATCCTCTTCCTCCTCCTCCTCATCCTCTTCACCTCCCCCTCTCCCTCCTCCTAAATTCATCCACAACTGCTAGTAGCTCAGCTAGCTTCTTGTTTGGGAAAATATTATCAGCCTTCATCCTTTCCGTAAACCCATACGTTGGAATCCTTGCGTTCAAGTAGGCTTCAAGCAACAACTCATGTAATTTCATCCTATTTCTGAACCCAGCTTGTCTTCATCCATTCTCTTTCATGCACTTAACCAAATCTTCCCCCTCAAATAGAAGTTTATTTTAGCATATATCCTCAGAAGAGCATCATAGAATTTTGATGAAACTTTATTTCCCAACTTCAATGTTTTCTCAAATACTTCCTCAGCCTTATCTACACAACCACGACGAGGTTTAGCCTCACACACTTTCCAAACCCTCTCAACATCAGAAGCTTTGTCAGGAGAAGCATATAGAGGGAGGACAAACTTGCAAGCCATAGATTGAATCATTAGATCAGGCCACATTCCCTCAGCTTTCATCTTCTCCACAATATGTTTGATGCCATGATGATGATCATGATGACGAGATTTTGTTGAAGAGGATAAGGAGAGGAGGAAGAGGATGATGAGGAGGAGGGAGAGGGGGAGGAGGAGGAGGGGGTTAGGAGCATGATGGGGTTTTAATGAGGGGGTTTTATGCAAAAAATCCCGTCAGCACTGGTCGGAACAGTAACTCCGACCAAATTTAAGGTGTATTTGGCGCCAGAGTCGACAAAATATACCAATCTGACAAAACTAAAAAAAATATACCAACATGTCACCAAGCCTCTATAAAATATACCAATCTGGTCATTTTGCCTATCTTACTAGTAGGTAGTTTCTATATGTACAACATCTCTTTTTTCTTTTTTCAATCAAACACAAAAAAAGAAAATCAAATACTTTCACATGGGTGTGTTGGGTGTTTTGATTTCCTTTTCTTAGTTTCTTAGACAACCAAACAGCCCCTTAAACGAAGGCGGAGTAATTGATAGAGCTTTTTTAGTTAGGGAGAAGGAAGGAGAGGTTATGACTGAACACATGGATGGTAAGATATATCTGGTTGGATTCGGTTGAAGTAAGGACCCGGATTCTTCACCAGATGAGTATACTGAATAATACGCTAGTTTTTGTGCACGGATGGGTCTGATTTCATTGGCTGCATGTATCAGGAATAAATCCAAGGCACAACCTTTTGGTCGACTCCCATAATCATCTCTCGACCATAGGGGAAAGAAAGACCTAGTCAACTCTTAAGAGTTCCAGGCACAACGACTCCTCAGTCGAATATCAAGCTCTTGGCTCTTTATCAAGATAAGCCCAAGGCACAACGACTCCTTAGTCAAATATCAAGCCCTTAGCTCTTTATCAAGGTAAGCCCAAGGCACAACTTATGATCAATTCCTTCGACTCTCATCGATCATCATGGACAAGCCCTTAGTACCTTATCAGGAATAATTCAAGGCACAACCCTTTGGCAGACTCACACAGTCATCTCTTGGCCTTAGGATAAAGAAAGACCTAGTCAACTCTCAAGAGTTCTAGGCACAACGACTCCTCAGTTGAATATTCAAGCCCTTGACTCTTTATCAAGATAAGTCTAAGGCATAACAACTCCTCAGTCGAATATCAAGCCTTTTGGCTCCTTATCAAGATAAGCTCATGGCACAACGACTCTTCAATCGAATATCAAGCCTTTGGCTCTTTATCAAGATAAGCCCAAGACACGACTCTTCAGTCGAATATCAAGCTCTTGGCTCTTTATCAATATAAGATCAAGGCACAACGACTCCTCAGTCGAATATCAAGCCTTTGTCTCTTTATCAAGGTAAGCCCAAGGTACAACTTATGGTCAATTCCTCCTGCTCTCATTGATCATCATGGACAAGCCCTTGGTATCTTATCAGGAATAAATCTAAGGCACAACCATTTGGCCGACTCCTACAGTTATCTCTCGGTCTTAAAGGAAAGAAAGACCTAGTCAACTCTTAAGAGTTCTAGGCACAACGACTCCTCGGTCGACTATCAAGCCCTTGGCTCTTTATCAAGATAAGCCCAAGGCACAACGACTCCTCAATCGAATATCAAGCCATTGGCTCTTTATCAAGATAAGCACAAGGCATAATGACTCCTTAGTCGAATATTAAGCACTTGGCTCTTTATCAAGATAAGCCCAAGGCACAACGACTCCTCAGTCGAATATCAAGTCCTTGGCTCTTTATCAATGTAAGCCCAATGCACAACTTATGGTCGATTCCTTCGGCTCTCATCGATCATCATGGACAAGCCCTTGGTACCTTATCAGAAATAAATCTAAGGCACAACCCTTTGGCTGACTCCCACAGTCATGTCTCGGCCTTAGGGGAAAGAAAGACTAAGTCATCTCTCAAGAATTCTATGCACAATGACTCCTCAGTCGAATATTAAGCCCTTGGCTCTTTTTCAAGATAAGCCCAAGACACAACGACTTTTTAGTCGAATGTCAAGCACTTGACTCTTTATCAAGATAAGCCCAAGGCACAACCCTATGGTCGACTCCTACAGTCACTACTCAACCTTACGAGGATTATGAAGACCTAAGCATCCAACCTCACAGTTGCCATTCTGAAAAAAAAGGTATTCATAAACCTAATGTATGAATATTAAGTGTATGGCTAATAACTTAAGCAGTCGTCTGCCAAGTTCTGGTCAATTAAACGCTCAACCAGAATAAGGCATCAAGTGAACTAGTTGTCATAAGCCCCCAGTACGGGTCGACACACTACAACTAACTCACTTCAACCAACATCTTAGATGAGAACGAAGCTACAAAGCTAAAAGAATGCAAACAATAAGGGCAAGCTCAAGAATGAAGGCAAAAGTTAATTTTCATTCAATAAGAGTAAACTTCATTACAAACTCTTATACAATAAAAAGGAGAAAAGAAAAAAATTGAAAGATACAGGTCTTCAAAGCCCTCGACTAGACTCAGGAGTTAGACTTGGCGGACTCCTAGTGGCAGCAAGGGTAGAAGATCCCCAGGGGCCCCAGCAATAGGCTCAACATCATCGTCATTCGCTGACAAATCCAAACCACCTCTAATTTTCTCGACATCTTTTAGCAAGTCGAGACAACAAGAGACGCAAGAAGGATAGAAGCAATCTGGAGTCGGATGAGAGTCGCGAGACGCTAAGGAGGCAAAGTAATCAACCACAGATTTACAAACTAAGACTACTTCAACCTTCCCTATAGGACTGTGACTAGGTGTGTCCAAAAAGCCCGCGGTCCGGGCCTGGCCCGGAGCCCGGCCGGCCTGGTGCTCGGGCCCGAGGTTGGCCAGGAAATCCGGGCCAAAACCGGGCCCGGGGCCCGGTCATCGTGGGCCCGGCTGGCCGGGCCGAGCCGAGCCGGCCGGAATAGTAAGTTTTTTTAAATTTTTTATTTAATTTATATATATATATATATATATATATATATATATATATATATATATAGAGAGAGAGAGAGAGAGAGAGAGAGAGAGAAATATGGAGAAACTTGGTACCAAGTTTTTTCATTGAACTTGGTATGAGGTGGTCAAATCTAGACCATACATCATGCATTGGAGATGGAGGCCTCTTTTTAAATTAGGTGAATAGTGATTGAGGGCTCTCTCTCCAAATGCATAAATGTATGGACTAGATTTGACCACCTCACTACGCAAGTTCAATTTAAGAAACTTAGTACGCGAAGTTTCTCCATATTTCTCATATATATATATATATATATATATATATATATATATATATATTTATTTATACTCTCTCTCTTAGAATATAATTATATATAAGTATACTATCTATTATATATGTATAAAATATGTATAAGTATATATAAGTATATTCTCTCTTATATAAGTATATATATGTATAAGTATATATAAGTATACTCTCTTTTATATAAGTATATATATGTATAAGTATACTCTCTCTTATATATGTATGAAATATGTATAAATATATATAAGTATGCTCTCTCTTAATATAAGTATATATATAAGTATATTCTCTCTTATATATGTATATATCTCTTATATAATTATATATATGTATAAGTATGCTCTTTCTTATATATGTGTACAGTGTATTCTCTCTCTTATATATATATATACATTTATACTCTCTCTCTTAGTATATAAGTATATATAAATATACTCTCTCTTATATAAGTATATATAAGTATACTCTCTTTTATATAAGTATATATATGTATAAGTATGATCTCTCTTAATATATGTATAAGTATATATAAGTATACTCTCTCTTATATATGTATAAATATATATAAGTATGCTCTCTCTTAATATAAGTATATATGTAAGTATATTCTCTCTTATATATGTATATATCTCTTATATAATTATATATATGTATAAGTATGCTCTCTCTTATATATGTGTACAATGTATACTCTCTCTTATATATATTTATACTCTCTCTCTTA